TCAGTTGGCACGATATTCGAGATATCGCAGTATATTTCCATAAGGGAATCTACTAAAAACGCCGCTGATAACTATTCAGAGTTTTCAGCAACCTTGTGAGTAGTTTCCCTCATGAGAGTTCGAATTCTTTTCGCGGTGCTCACGGCTGGTGATAACCAACAAGGACAAAAGAAACTCTCGGCTTTTCAACATTTTACCTCACTTCAGTTTGAACATAAAATCTCAGAAAACGGCGAACTTTGTGGGTAAGAAGACAGCCTCCGCTTTCAAGATTTAAGAGGTAAACCTCCTAATAAGATGCTCCGATTCATGAAGGAATGTCACTATAGCAAGGTTTGATGAAACCTCTTCGACAGCCCAGGTAGGCGCAGTCCCCAAGTTGCCACTAATCTTGAACACAGATTGCACTGAAATTCGCGTAGTACACTCATTTGCACATCGATTTGATTTCAACACGAGACTCAACTGAATCTATCGTTTATGACATTCTTCAAGTAGATGCACTGCAGAACATCACAAACGAGAGATTCAGCTAGAACCCATTCGAGTCTCGTGTTAAAACCAACTTGGTGCAATTTGGGTCCCTGTAGGGCATAAATTTGACGGACTCTCAGGGAATGCGCCCAAATTGGATGGAAGGACTCACCTGAGTCCAAGCCGAACATCTCGTTTATGAGGTACGTATCTGATGACTCCCAAGAAGGGCGAAACCTTTCGTGGACTGCCGGAGAGTTTCCACCAAGACTGTCGGTAGTATTCCTCCATGATATCATCTGGAGGAGTACCTAATACAAATCGGACAATTGTGACATCTGAGTTCCGAACAGTGTTTGACAGTATAGCGAACCAATTCATCCCGAACGACTGAAGCTGTTCGAACTATCGACTGATTTCTCCAACTCACTAGCACTGGTCCGTCGATTCATGGAACCTGCCACCACCGCAACAAGAACGCCGCAGCGGGTGGTACTGGTTTGTTTCACCTAACCCTCCCCCCTCTACAAAGCGCTGTTCAGCCACTCGGTTTAGTGACCCAGCCACGGCACACACAGGTGTTTGTGCTACCGATAATACTCCACACCCCCCTAAATCGGTTCTGTTGGATCCCTCCCCCCACCCCAATGGATCATTTTGACACCCTTGAAAAGTGATTAGACAAGAACGAAGAAGTTGGCTATTGTTGGGGCAAGGTGTTCGGGGAACAGTCCAAAAGCTTGTCCGAAAAAATTCACCGCTTTATTGTAAGTTTAAATTCAGACGGAAAAGCAATCCGAAAATTCGCTTTTGACGAGCACATGAAATCACTGACAAATGTATGTTCAGAATTCTCGCCGGATGGTGTGAATGACTGACAGACCTTTGGGGCAGGGTAGTTAATCACAACGAATCATGAAAAACAGGGGTGGTTTTTGAACGATCAAATTACGGTCGGTGAGAAATTCTGTGCAGAAACCCTATCGGTTTTCATCAGACCGAACTGGGCTGTCCATATATGGATGTACAAAAATGTTTGCAGCAACAATCCTCCTCAATGCATCGAAAGTTTCCGTCGATCTGTCGCCACAGTCGATTTGATTTCTTAAACATTTCGAACCAGTCTACCAACTGACTGCCAACCGATGTCAGTGGCGTCCTCGTTGTCAGCTTTAATCCACATTGTTTGAATGAGTGTTTGGAGGTGTAGGCACCTCGGAATGATGGTAGCAAGTCCCTTCCCTCGTCCACCTTTGTACGGCAGCAGAGCATCGGTGTTGCACACCGATATCATGATGCCGATGATGATCAACCAGTCTGCGGCACGCCATATCTCCGGACCGTTGGACTACATTCTTTCGTCTGGGGTCACCATTTTCCAGAGATGAATAAAGTATTCATCTATATCAATTGAGACCGGATACCTTCTGGCTTGGTTAGCTCCGCTGCCACGTGGCTAAATTTGCTTCCAGGGGGCGAGATGGACCAAGTGGTTAGAGCGCGAATTTACTGACCGGAAGATCCGTGGTTCGAACCCGACCTCTGCCACTCGATTTCCCCTGTCTAGGCTCGGGTGACCTGGCAGTATTCCAGCCCTCGTCTTTCCTTTGGGTGGCATGGCAGCTAGGCACCTAGGGGGTGTTACAGGTGAACGACTATCTATCTATCTCTACTATCTATGTCACCCTTGGCTCCTCACTGCGATATAATCTAAAACAGGTGCAATAGGTGAACGCGATTGAGAACGGAAAGATCACTTGAAAACCTCGTTGGATACGCCGTGGAATGCTTGCGGATTCGTAACAGAAAAGCATAAGCCTTACCCGGGACGGAAAGTCCACACAACGCCTTCAGTAAAGCTATCAAATCCCCCCAGAGACTATGTACTTACTAGTGGTGACACATGGTGGTACAGCACATGGATGCGACCTCACAAGACCTGAGTGGAATATACACAACCCTGACGCAAATGGCGACTGAAGTCTTTTCTTTGGGAACACCGCACTAAAATCTGTGGCATTTTGAGAGCGAATGGCGTATATTTCTTGAAAATCGCAATTGCGAAGTAAATGAGTCAATAAAAGAATTCACGAGAAATATCACTCGGTGCAATAGGTTCAAAACAGGTCGGAAAAAGTGGCGCAATGGAATCACGTGGGTTAAGAGATCGAATAAAAAACAAGGCAGTTAGATCTGCGGAGATGAGTGTTGTAACTGAATTTCTACTGTAGCTTGTGATGAACTATCCAACGGAAGGAATATCCCGTGTTTTTCTTTCAACATACGTTTTCGCCTCCTTCTCATCATCACGACCACAACAACACAAAATGCGATGAAACAGGCAGCTGCTAGACAAATAAGAAGAATCAGAGGCCAACGCAACGCGGGCGCTCCTGATTGGTAAATCAACGTTGCATCTGATTGGCTCTCACCATTTTCTGTTGATGATTGGTTAGTGATCGAAGTGTGGTCGGGTGAATCAAGGCTGCAAAAAAACGATGAGCAGCAATCATACACGTCAATCGCTATGGCTCGAAAAAAGTGCTGAAAGGAAAAAATAGGCGCACCAATGGCTCAAAAATCCAATGAGTGACTGACCGTGTGGTTGTCGTAACGTGTAGTGTGGACTCTGTTGGGGGTTCGGTACTAAATTGTAGGGAACAAAGGGAAAAAGACATGAATACTTCGTCTGAAAGTGTCATCAGTTTAAACGATAATAAAATAATAATAAAATAATAATAATAAAAATCGCATGTAATTCTGTATGCTAGTTTGTTTCGCTTTGCTGTCATTCCCTCTGGTCTGAGTGCGTAACGCAGGTCACGCTACTTCTCCATGCGGCTATTCACATTGTATGCATCTATCAACGCATAGATTCTTTCAGGCACTCCTCATTGGGCTGAAAAAGTCAGACCGTCAGGTGACCAAAGGTGTGGGTCCATGCACGGCACCAGTTGGTAGTAGGCGAAGAGCTGGAGGCAAGACAGTCTGCAGAAATAAGTGGAGCCTTCCTCGCGTGAGCAGAATAGATTGGTGAGGCTCATTAGTTCAGCTGCACAGCTAGAGGCGCAATAAGAATAGAGGCATCGGCAAGACTGACAAAAAGAAAGACCGGAGCTGTGACTCTGTAAGACAGGCCAGGCTCCTGAAAATAACGTTAGGATATCCGAAGCTTACGTGGAACCGCTGATCCCATCCGATTCCTTTTAGGGAGGCCACTGTAACTACAGGACAGGAGAGCCAACTATCGGATGGAAGTTCAAGCGGCGACTCATGACGCCCGGGCGTGACCTAGAAGCGATGTGTTCCGCGTTGTGCTCTCGTTCGACAAGTCTTTCCCACCACTACACTTTCGAAGCCGGAGTTCGAAGTCAGTCGCGAAAGCGTTTGAAACGTGGTATAGAACATCTTTACCCGCAACAGCTGTAGGAATACTGTTTCGGGGAACGCATCTTGCAGCGCCCAACCAATTAAGCCATTCGCTTGATTTAATTACTTTCAACTAATGAAGGGCCAATGCGCCTTCCAGAGCTATCCGCCAAAAGTTGTGGGTTTTTAAAAGTCCGCACTGTGAACTGCGTAACACCGTCCGGCGTTTTGTTGTTCTAATGAGCTTCGTCGTTGGATGACACTTTTGTTGTAGAAGCTGTTTGACTATCTTCAAGAATCATCATCACTGAGTATCCCACGAACCTGTGAGGAGATCCAAACCGAGCCGCTAGACGGTAGTTGAAGTCTAATAGAATCGGCCACGAGCGACTGGTCAGTAGTGCGCCGAACTTGCACTCTGTTGTGGACCACAGTCTCCTCAATGCCTTCTTGTAAGCGTGAACCCCGGTCTGCATAGCCGCCTGGTGCGCTTGACCAAACCAGATAAACTCAACGAACGTGCGAGCCAGTTGCCCTATCGATCACTGTCGCGTACAAGAAGGTCAGAACAAAAGTGATACTAAGAATACAACTCATCTGTCAAAAGCGAGTGAAGAGCAACCAATGAAATCTGTCTCAACGAAAAACGGTTGTTCGATTGGTTGTTATGTAGTCCCGTTACGTTCTGAGCTGGTTCTCCCAGTACACTCAGACATTATCGTTCACGGTACCCGGAAGCAAGCCGATCCAGATAAACAAACTCGCATCGATTGGAAGGGCAAGTCACGATCCGGGGACGGATCACACGTGAAGGCACGAGCCAGCCAGGTTCAAGCACTCATAAAGATGAGAACTTCTCGTTCCATCCCTAAGATTCAAGCTCAACTTCGTGAAAAGCCCCCTGATAAGTTTCCATAAAGGACTGTCTCAAGCTACCGCGCCGTTTGATATACCACAGTCGCTGGAACAGCAAGCCAAGAGCCAACATGGGGACTGCGAAACCATCTGCGAGACATAACATAAAAGCTGCTGATATGATGACAATCGGTCGGCCATGCCCCGTCGAGCCATCTGTCGCATTTTATTCCGTTTGCGAGATTTCGTGATCTCATTCTCGGGCAACTACATATCTAAAGCTAACATACGTACAGTAGGGAGCAAATCAAACAGTGAACTTACGGCCATACGCTAGAACACGCCTATCCTCGGTGACACAATTCATAATCAACGTGTGCTCTGAGAACTACAACACTCATCAAAGCAACGACAGGCAACGCAGTCCTATTCGGGGAGTCGGATAACCTCGTGTGCCACAGGTGTGACATTTCGCTACCTGGCCACCACACCATCCGGAGGATTCATGAGGGCTGAGGCACTCCCATGTTTCCCAAGCCTAGACAGTCGAGATGTCAGGGGTTGGATTGGAGCTACGGACGTACCAGTCAGTGAGCTTGCAGATTAACCGCCGCCATATCTTGAGCTCATACAAAAGAAATATCGGAACCCATTTGGATGCACTCATCCTCCACGGAGACGATACCGGCTCCCCCCCCCCCAAGAAAACGAACAGAGGACCTACAGTGTTTCGCGGAGGCTCACATCCCTTCGCTACACACAAGGACGCAATGAATAGAACGCGAAGTGGGAGATCCCGGAAGTCCTAATGAAACCACCACGTTGGCACTGCTGCAGTATAGTCTTGAGAAAGCTGTAGTCGCCACAAGACCAACGAAGTCTTCCAGCATCAGATCACCGATGGGTATGAAATAGCGCACATACCAAATGGAAGTGTAGTGTAGTAGTGTAACGGTGATACTACTGATGGAGAGGCATGCGAGTAGTACGTTTTCTCGTAAACCCGTTCCGCGCCTCTTGAAAAGTGAGGTCTATTGCGGAATTCGGGCAGTCGCATCTGCTCGCATTTGGGCAACATTCAACGAATATCCAGGAAAGTTCAGGAAGACGCGTTCAAGGAAAGGATGGATATTCAGTTTTTGTAAACAAGATGCAAATGAGAGTTTTGCTTCCCTGTCCGATAGGCTGTAACTGTTCAGTCGGCATTTTCTAATAAATAGCTCCGCAGCGAAGGCCTTCTTCCTTTCAGTGGTAGCATTTCACGGAGCATACGACAGGCAAAGCCGAATCAGCAGAACTAGGGATACCCACCCAGGAACAAACATCTTGCGACAAATCACGAGTACAGTGTCTGCCACTTAAAGGTTATATTTTGTTATATCTTCAAAAAAGACTAAAAAGGTCATAAATGTAAAACATCCCACAAAACCAGTGGATAAAATCGTGCGACTGAATGAATGAATGTTTGTTCACAGACATGAAAGAGGGTTGAAAAAGCAGGGCTAATGGTGCACAGATGGGGAATATGTCCGCTAAAATGCACTGTGTACAATTACACCTTGGATGCAAGTACATTGTCCAGGATAGTTCCCGGTGGAATGAACGCCCCAAGCTTTTCTCCACACAGAAATCGTTGATATGCAGTCGCAATCACGACGATAAGCAAGGCGAAAGTGAGCAGCCCTGAAACAGTCAAACCCGCTGGAACCAGCAGAGACTGGCTCAACAAAGACGAATCTAAACGATGGACTGCACTAGAAGTTGAAATCCATCGCTCCGTATTCATCATACGGGTTTGGTTACTCACTGGATCCGGTCTAGGAAAAACGTATTCGCAAAAGAATGGGGTCATCTTAAGGTGAGAGCTTGAATAAGAACGCTGCACGCTGTGGTTATCACAGGAATGATTACTGGAAAAGAATCAACCGTAAAAAACGCAGAAACTCTTCAAACATCGACTGTGAGACTGACCGTTTTGTCAACGTGGCACCCTGTGGAAGTTCTGTGGTGAACCCGAACGTTCCGCGCCTAGAGTGCAGAATTAAAACAATTAAAACAAATTAAAACAAAACAAAAAAACAATTAAAACAAAACAGTTGCTCGATGAGCCAGTCAACACGTGTGACCGCGTGATGTGGATCCCGTGATTGAAGGATGAGCGGCGCTATATCCTGTCTAAGTGCGAGTTAATCACACTGCTGATCAGCCGCCTGTGACCAAACGGTTAAGTATTCAAACTACTGGCTAGGTCGCGAGCTCGAGACTCTCCGGAGTTTCGTGAGATGCGCGCTGCTGATGATTCCCAATAAGGATGAAACAGCTGTACAGTGCTCCTCGGCTTTTCAACGCAGATCGGCTACACTCACAGGACGAAGTCTCCATAAAAAAACAATGTCACGTGCTCGTGATAAGGTGTTAAATTGGAACTACTTATAACGAATCAGTAGGCAAAACATTAGACGAAATTTGAGATGGTGTGGGGGCAGATACCACGAATCAGGGTGAGTTTGCATGCAGTTTTGTCCCCTAAAAACCATTGCGTCAAAAAACCTGAATATCGCGGGTTTCCGTTGTGTAGCACAATCGTAAAGGCTTGAGAAAGACCAACTTCTTCCAAGGTTGTGCCACGCGCGCTTGAGTATGTCTATATACGTGTCGCTGGTACTTTTAAGTATGGAGAAAGGGACCGGCTCGTCCTAATTGTCACTGCACCTAAAAGTAACCTGATAGTTCACTTGTGCGACAGAGAAGATCTGGAGCGAGAAAAAAGTCCTGTGACTCTAGAAGCTCAACGAAGTTGGGAACCTGTGAACTTACGGTTTAGCGCACAGTTGAGTTCTTGTCTTATGCGCTCGTCCCTAAACTCATTAAGGATACAGAAAGTGGCCTTGGTTACGGAGAGGAAAAGTGCATAATTGCAGTTGCGAGAGAATCCGACATCTCGACTTGAACGTTTCATTATCTGTACAATGAATTGTATTCCACTTCATAGAAAGCAAACAATCTAGGCAGTCGCACACTGACTGAACAGATGAGTTTCACCTAAAGGTCCACGTCCCTACTGACCTGGTAAAAAAACACAAGTATCCCCTATGCAGGTAACCCCAGAAAAGCCACCCTCTAGGATTTGTCTCTGCTAGTTCTTTCTCAGAGGGAACTCACTGTATAGACCTTGATTTAATGTGGAAAATGACAGGCCGGTAGTAGGAATCACGACGGCAGAAGCTGTCGAGTCGTAAAGCACTGTCAACCCAGAAAATAGCTCTGAGGGAACAAACGGCTCAGCCGGAAGACGTGGTGATCGGGGAGCCGATAAGCCAAAGTCTGGGCGTCAGCCAATCACAGAACTGGCCAACCAACATGACCGGTCATCTGAACGGTCAATCACAATCAAAAGTTAGCCCTTGGCCGACGAGGGGTATATAAACAACATAGTACTACTCAACCGCTTCACAGCGACCCAACGCTGACCTGCAATACACGGGTAATGTCCAACCAGACTGCCAAGCCAAGCGGACAGAACAGCAGGCAGCCATTGCAATTTTGTAATCGTCTTGTAAGGAAAGTCAATCCATGCCGACTAAACCGCTCGGGCACGAGCGTCTGATCAGCACTGCGACTAACTTGAACATGTACAAGATATGGTGCCACTCAATGCTAAATCACGGGGCTCGCATCACGTGGTTAAGTATTCCCTTGCTCCTTGAATGATGATTTCTCAGACGGAAGGTTTGGTGGCTGTCGGACTCAAATGAGGCCATAAAAACCGGATAGTCTGGCAAAGAAAACAAGAGCTATCGTTAGAACCTCACTATCACCGGTCCGTATTTCAAGACATTTCGATAGACGGTCCTATGTGTGCATGCTGTGCGCGGCTATGGTTAAACCGATCGAACGGATTACTCAGTTAACTTCCATCAATTTAACAGCGGTGCTCTTTACAGCATCAACAGCATATGGTATTGGTGTTTCCTTTTCAAGAACAGATCAGGGATTCGGGCATCCAGATCCGTTTCTGGAGGGTTTGTCCTCTCAATGCGAGCGGGAAAAATCCCGTATATCTCGGGTTGACTTTATGGGAGAGGCGAATACTGCGGTACCGCGACCGTCCACTGAGGGTCATTTAAACATGTGGTGAATAGCTACAATTTTTAAAGTACAGGCTGGCGAGACAACACTTAGAGAACATCACAGCTTGAATAGGTAAGACTACGAACCACTGGATGAGAAACTCGATGGTTAACCTCTCAGCTATGTCCAGCTCAAGGCTGAATACACCTCAATCGGAACCTTTATACGAATAAATGACCAGTTCACAAGCAGCGCCGAGGCTTGACATCCAATTCCGTCGTATTCGTTGCATTTTTGGGTTTTTTGCGGGATAGGTATTTGGCTCATAGTCACACCACTCTCGTTTGAACGGTCGTTCTCCTGTTCTGGCGTAATCATTCCGGTGAGTCCACATCAGAGGGATGCAACACTGGACTCGAGTTTCGCTCTCGTTAGAGCTCATCAGCAGTGCATATTCAATGGACGTGCCGGGATTTGAACCCCGGACATCTGACATGCCAGCCGAGCGTGTAACCGCTACGCCACAAACGCACGTTGGACTCATCTGGATTTTCACGTCCGAACAGGCGAACGGGTTCATACTTGGGCGATGTGATTGGTGCGGCCGACTCGAATGACGATCGATTGACCCGCCAGTCAGGACTTCCGTTGCATTCAGCTATCGTGAAACAAGTCCCAAAGACGACTCCCTAACCCGTTCGCGGAAAGATGGAGGTTCTACTTCGCTTGGCCCTAAGCAAAAGCATGTAATGAGTCCTCACTGGACAAGCATTCTAGTCTCTCATTGACACGACAACCATGGCCGTTGGCAGTTGATAACATTTACGCACATCTGTGGATCGTTCAAAGGAACGTAACCGACGAAACTTACCAGACCTCGTGACTGGATGACGTGTGAAAAGTGATTCGTTGCACTCGTAGGCCGATGGGTGGCAATGTCTTGTTCGCACGTGACCAACGCTCCCTTACCAATGTCATCGAGTCAAGGCCAGTGTATTGCTGATGCATCCGCTCTCCGTAGAAATAGCGCAACAGGGTTCGTCTGAGACATCGATTTTGAGACTTGGTCAAACTGTGACGCCAAACGTCAAGTGTAGCTTCACAAGATACTGCGGATGCATGGCATGCGGATCGAAAGAAACCGGCAGGCTGTGACCTATCGTTGACCGGCCATGGACCCGAATCGGACCTTCGATCCAAATAAACCGTCCGTACCTGAAAAGTGCACGGTAAAGGTCAATTTACCTCACTGACCAATTAGACGGCGGGAAGGAAATTCTAAACGCTCCAACGTTAACTTTTGGACTGAAAAACTTCCTCAATAGGAAATGTGAATGCATGTGTTGCAAGGTGGAGAACTTACCGGAGAAGTCGCGTTACTAACTGGAGGGTTTATTGGGGGGAGGGGGATGCACACAGAGTTTTTCTCAGAGCTGTTTTCATCCCAATCCGATCCTTTTCCCAAATGGATGGACTATCGTTACTATCACTACTTGTCACCTTTCAAACAACGCGGGACACAAACACTTGTGACAAGTTCAAGGCCAAAAGCGTACACCTGATTAGGTAACAGTCAGACCACAAAACTCCTGTTTATTCTTCGCCTATGACATCCATTCGCTGTGGTTTTCGCGCAACCTGACGTGTTGTCGGATGTTCTCAGTGTGCGGGAGAGAAACCGAGTCAAACTTTTCATAAGGAGAATTGGGTTCGAACTGTTCGAACCTCGGGTTCCACATCATCTGATCGAGAAGAACGTGTCAACTGGTTCAGCTGTAACACCCTTTCGGTGCCTACCTACCAGGCTGGGATACTGCCAAGCCTAAACGGGAACAGTCGAGATGCTGGGGTTGGGTTCGAACCACAGACCTTCCGATCAATAGGTTGGCTCCTTGACCAATGACCAACCAAGACGGGAGCAGCTGCAAATGAGCCTAATTCGTAAGGCCGTCTGTCATGTTGATGAGTGGCATAAACCACGAGAAAATAACCACGAAAAAAAAATAAACAAGTACATTACAAAGATATACATGTATCGCGATATTTCGAATGTCGTAGCGATTGAAACATGAGGCGGCCTGGTGAAGCACATTCAGTTGCCTTAGAACATCACAAACGAGAGATTCAGCTGGGTCCCAAATGAGTCTTTCAAAAAACCAAATTAGTTTGCAAATGAGTGTATATTCGCTAATGTCGTGCAATTTGGTTTCAAGTAGAACACAAGGTTGACGGAAACCCGGGGACTGCGCCTACCTGATGAGCCCCAAGAAGGGCGAAACCGGTCGTGGGCTGTTGACGGATTTTCAGCAACCTTATGAGTAGTACATTACAAAGATATACATGTATCGCGATATTTCAAATACCATAGAGACTGAAACATGAGGCGGCCTGATGCAGCACATTCAGTCGCCTGAGAACATCAATAACGAGAGATCCAGCTGGGTTCCAGGTGAGTTTCTCGAAAAACTAAATTAGTTTGCAGATGAGTGTATGTTCGCTAAGCAGTGAAGAAATTCTAGAAAGTTATATCGTATAATTAAGCCAAAATGCTGAGCTGCCAAACTCGGCGAACAGATCAACAGCCATCTGATCGATTACCAGCTGTTTACTCCTGAGACCAATAGTGCATGTCTCGGTGAACTCTTGTCCAAAAGTTGGTAGAATGTACCGATTCGATCCAGACGGCGCGAACACTCGATTGGCTCAGGGCTTTACGTATTAGCCATCCTCGATAGATTTTCGCCATTTGGGTGAACTCAAAGTGAGTGAAGGACAGGAAGTTTTACGCAGTTGGTGCGGTTGTGCTGTTCACAGCTCCACAAATCGCCGAGTGCCACCGCGTGTGCGGACAAGCGACCGCTTTGTCAGTCGCACCAGCTGCCAGTCGGTCATATCTTGAATCGATAGGGCTAAGGAAAAAATGGATCGTACCACCATCTGCGCAGACAGCACAAAGTACTCTGAAAAGATTGACAGTAGCAATGCGTACAAAAACACATGTTTTTCACCACCAACGACTAATCAGTCAGTCCATTGGGACTGATATCCACAACAGCAGTTTTCTTTTCAGAAGCGGAGTACTGACAAACTGAGCTCGCTCGGAATTACCATCAAAGTGATTTGAGAACAAACAAACTAATTGGTTCAAAGGCTTACATGTCCAGAACCCGCGACGGCTTTCTCTGTCAGAAGATAGTCATCACCGGGAACAACGCTCATGTTGGAAGACAGAACAACCTCCAACCCGAATTGTCCATGGGCGTACTCAGTCGTGAAGTTATCCAGTGTGACCTCCAAATCCAGCGACTTGAGATCATCCCGCAGAAGCACCTGAAAACGCAAAGATCGGAGGCAGCGGACTTAGAATTCCGTGTACAAAAATCATACAGGGAAGGACAACAAGGCGGAGACGATACCAAGGCGTGCCCATTCGTGCAAAGGCGACGCAAAGCAGTCACCTAAGCAACGCGGTTATCATCACCCAGACAAAACTTCGAATGAGGTGCCGTTAAGGACCACTATGTTTGTTGCAGTTTTTCAGAGACCACTTTAAGTAATTTGGAAAGAATGGGACAGTGCAAAACCCGGAAGTTGACAGGATGGCACAGCCCGTAAAAAACAAAGACAACAGAGAACAACCACGCAAACACGGCGTACCAACGAAGCACAATGCTTACAACACTTCTGTTTATGTGTTCGTGACTTTTTCGAAGGGATCGAACATCGAGCGGAACAGACAAATGCGGTGCCCTGATTGGTGAATTTACAGGCCAATCAGAGTTTAGCGTCACGAAGGTTCTAGAACGTGCTTGTGAACTCTTCGATAACCCTGCACATAAAGATGTAGCAATCTTCACGACATAATCGAGGACTGTCTCAAGGTACCCTGCCCTTTGATGAACCACACTTGGCGGACAGAACATCAAATCAAGGATTAACATCGAGACTGTGAACCACAACAAAGTGCCAAACGGCGATGAAGGTTCACTCAGAGATCCATTCGTAACACGATCGATTTTCAAGACGTTCTCAGATATCCGAAAACAGCAGACACACAAAACTGGCAAATTCCTGAGAGCAACAGCTCTCTTTCGAAATTGTTTTCATGTCACAAAGACTGCACACATCGCCACCCGTCTGGCCCCCACCCCGGGTCAGTCTGCTCAAAAGAATGTAGAATGGTTTGGATAGTTCATCGCCTCTCCAACAATCACTGACCGGCATATGCGGGCCTCGCTCGATTCCTACACTGGAACCGTGTTGACCAGATACCTATCTACCACACTCATCAGCAGCAACGCGCGCAACTTCTCTGGTTCACTCAGCATGAAGACTAAATTCCAGCATGATTAGTGCCACTCGAAGACGGATTAGACCGCATGAAAGCACCTAAAATTAGTGTGTTGGTTGGTTTGTCGAGAAGACTAGATGATGCAGGTTGGTGACCCCGGCAGGAAAACGCAACTACCACGAAATGTCAGAAAATCGAGTCGTAAATAGAATGACAGGCTGCCAGGCGTTACCCCTCTTACTACTGTACTATGAAAGAATAGTGGTGCGCTTCCGTTTTTCATCCACGAAGTGACAGATCGTTTCGAAGACGCACAATTCGACAAAGCCCCGACAATCGCGTCACCCATCTCTGGTATGATCGTGTACCAAGAGGAAGCTAATCTATCCTCATTGTGACACTTTATTTCTGCTGAGTGTTTGTTGTGTCTTGCTGAACGGTATTGCGACTCTGTATCGATCCCTTGGATTCCTGCTCCGCCTACTGTGGAATCCCAAAAGGCACGGTAACTCTGAACAACCCCTTATGGAGACAAAAGGAAATCACTACACCGTATCTATGGTGTTATCACAGGGTGTTCCACAAGGTCGTGCTAGAGTCACCGTGCGGGGGCGAGAAGCGTCGAGTCAAAGGTGCTCGATCCGGATTGGTTGGCATTCTGACCAATCAGAGCATGCTTTCGATTGGTCCGTATCCTGCACGTGACACATCCGTCCAAATGGTGTGATGTCCGGTAATTAGGGACGGCTGGCTTCCGTACAGTTTTAAAGAAGTCGTACTAAGGAGAGGAAGATAACCGTTTGATTCGTTGACCCCTTGGGCGACCAACCCATTGTTCTTGTATGCACCATCGTTAAAAGTCAGGCACCCGAAATCACATTTTATGATCCGGGCAGGGCGGATGAAAGCTGACTCGTTGCCGGATGCCGAAGGCCTCGTTTTTTGCTTCGCATGCCTTTTCGAGGATAAATATTGCTCCACATTATTGAGGGGGGTGCGTGCAAAGCCGATGATGACGGCGACTCACTACCATTTTTACCTTCCCCGTAAATGCGCGTTCGGGAACGAATCTGCAGAAATATCCACAGTATTCTATGTATACTAGGGTTATTGAGGAGGAACAAATGGCTACATGAGTATTTCACAACCAACTGGGGACTACGGAAAACGATACGATCGATAACGAATTGGGCTCACCTTGATCTGTACGGAACCATTGTGGGCATGAGAGGCCAAAGAAGCCTGGTAAATGGCCGAAATCCGCTTGCTATTCCCCACTGGGCTTTTCGTAAGACGCCAAGTGCCTTTGTCGAAATAATGTGGACGGAACGAACCTGGAGACCGGTCAAAACTGGGCGAAGATCGCAAGCCGTCTTTGGTTGTTAAATTGAAATCCACAAACTGGATAAGATAATTCAAAATAGGTGAGGATAGGGGCCAATCAGATACATGTATGAGATGCCCATCAAGTAAATCGGTATGTTGATTATGACTGACAAGTAGCACCCCACGGAATGGCCTCCTAGAGATGCTGTATAATGCACAGCCTAAAGAAGCACATCTACGACAGGTTCTCCAAGCGGCTTTTCAGAAGGGGGGCATTGAAGGAGTTGAGCTAACACATGTTCAGGTCACAACCGCTTACATATGAAGCTGACGGGTGGCATGGAAGATGAGCGTCTCCGTTGCGAATCCAGGTGGAACAGGTGCTAGGAAAAAGGGTGCACTATTCGCTGACTGAGCGAAGGTCATCCACCAGAACACCAAGCTCCCTGCTGTGGGGGCATCACAATGCATCACAATGTAAAGGCCACACAGAGAAACCAACGAGATCACTCAGTTATCCCAAAGGTCAACAACCTGTTGCCGTTAGACCGGAGGGAGGAGCAACAGCCCTCACTCTAGGGTCCCCGGAAATACTTTGAGTTCTATCGACGGGCTTGCTCTGAACTTCAACGCAGCTCCAGAAATGGCTAGCAAATGACACGTTTTCCGCTCTATACATGAAAAAAGAGTTGGGAAGGGTACTCTGTCCGACTGTCACCAGAAAATCCGAGAAAAAGTGGAAAACGACAAGGTAGTCCGTTCTAGTGTACTTTTGCTCGTCACACAGATGGCCACGAGCGCCAGTCCCCCTGAGTTCTTAGATCACAGATTCCCAAAAGACAACTCACAACATAGCGACTTGTTAGTAGTGTGAGGAAATTCAGGGACGGACATTTCGTCCTGTCACCTGAGAAGGCAGTCAATACACACGTGACCAGGTGATGTGGACTCCATGGCTGAAGGACGAACGAAGGTAGTTGGTTCGACGTAACCCCACTGGAGATGCACAACGCTGATGATGCCAAATAAGGATGAAACAGCTGTACAATGCTTTTCGGCTTCAATCGTAGGTCAAAATCTTCATCGACAGGTGTGAATTAAGTCCGATGAGGGGGACAGGAGGTGATCGAGCAACAATGTGATCCAAGGATGACCACTTACTTGCGTCATGCATCGTTGGTTTCACTGAGATAAAGATAATGGTTCACGTGTAACACCCTTGAGTGGCCTGACTGCCACGCCACCTAATGAAAGCTGGGATACTGCCAGGTTGCCCAAGCCTAGACAGGGGAAGTCGAGAGGCAGAGGTCGGGTTCGAACCCCGGACCTCCGGGTCAGTAAGTATGCGCTCCGACCAGTGAGCCGTCCAATCAACGGTCTATACGGAGCTTGCCCGTTTTTACACTTATTTGGAATCCCTCACGGATGCACTTGAAATCACCCATGTAGGGAGAATTTCGCGGACTACTTGAGGACAACACACTTCCAAGATGCTTCGGGTTCAAAATAAGGGGAGTGCACTCAACAAAGGACAACGCTGCAAGTCAAAAGCGAGTTTAGATTGGATTTTGGGAGAGTTGACAGGAGACCCAACTGAACCCCGGCTTAGGCTATTATTCATAAAACTGCTGCATGAAGGCTTGTTTCACCCGAAAGGTCGCAGCCTTGTCCCCATAAGACACTACTTATAGGGTCACTGAGAACTCTTCAATATCCCACCACCGTTTTCAACTTCCTTGTGTCCAGGTTGAAGGGATGCCCACAAGCGCCATGAGAACCATATGTTTTACAGTCCGGCTTACGGTGACTTTCAGAGCCGATGGATGGATGGGAAACGCTGAAAATAATACGCACACAAAATAAAACCACGAGACTTACACTGAGGAACGCCAAACCATAGGACTGCGTTACTTGCTCCAGATGGATGGCTTGTTCCACCTTCGAAGCGCTTGAAGCCAGAGAATTCCAATTGATCGACACCTGCGCGGTCGGACTGGACGAGTGCAAGGCAAGTAGCGATGGTGTCACGTTCCCAGTCGCCAATAGCAGAAAGTGCACAGAACTATTGTGGTCCCAGGAACGAATGTACACGACGTCCGGTCTGTCACTCAACCGGGAACATTCAGCTTCACAACCCGGGTTGGCGACTACTCTCACTTGCTAGGATCATGACGGTTTAAGGGAAATGATGCCAAAACTCACCGAACTTCCTATGTTTGTCGCGCAGAAGCAAAGTGAAAATGCGAGAAAAACAAGGGAATTCATTCCCCAAGGTTAGGAATGCGAGTTGCCCTGGAAGAGATTGAAAATAAGTGCACAGATAAACGAAACCCAACTGCGGTGACATTATTCTTCGTTGACCAGAAAGAAACAAAGTGCGAAGTGGACAGTCTACGTTGGGGTGAACAGGTATCACGGACATGAATAAAAAGTACGTTGGCGAAGGCCGTCCAAGAAGGTCCTCGAGTCGTTAGAGCAGTGGTCGATATCGCCCCTGAAAGCAGTCTGGATCGAGGGAACCGATATCCGCTACGGCTTCGATACCACTTGAATCAACTCAACTGTATCGTTTGCTGGAAATACCCTTCCTTACGTACGTGTGCGGATTAAGACGCCACTTAACGACGCTGCCTATCATTTTATCTCTAAAGCTGCAACTGCCGGATATCATCAGCACCGCATCACCACCGGCACGACTGAGAGAGCAGCTCACCTGCAGCACGTACCCACGCACCTCAGAGAATGGCACACCTAACACGTCAGAGCCGAAACGCACCGTCGATTAGTCAAACGGGACACAATGATTGGGTGTCCAGTTAGTAGGCCAAGGCCGTTTAGGCTAAGCCGTCTGCAATCCCATTGGTTCACTGGCAGCGTGGCCATGTATGGATACGTCAGCTCGACGGCTCGGAATGCTGAGACGAGCAACTGCAGCCTTTTCCCATTGGATGTGACGAGATGGCAACATGTCCGGGATCACGTGCGCACACGGTCGCTGTAGGTGGGCCGGCTTCGCTCATCCTAAGGCGGCTTGCGGGTTACCCACCCAGGTCTACGAGATCGGCCATGGTTGCTTGGGCGTTCGAACCCGAGACTGAGTTTTTTCGTCAAAGTTGGGAGATAGGTTCGGACCATATACCGTAGCACATGACATAAAGAGCGTTCCAAACAGAAAAATGCCAGCGATCAGTACTTTATGTTTGGGATCGGTGCAGAGTACTTTTACACCGCACAATAGTTATTGCATTCAAGCCTTGAGTCGGTTCCATGGGTAAGGGCTTGTGAGATGGGCACGTCAGAGGGAACCTCCGTCTGGACAACGACATGGTATGACATATGGAGGGACCTGACTGAGACTTTGGGCATATGTACCGCGCAAGACATCAGGGTTACCCAAACCATCTGCCGGCCAATTCCATTAGATATCTGACTACTGGTGAGTAGTCAGGTTGTGTATCTGAATAGTCATTAAGGCACTGATTCGTGGGCTGTGGAGTGGTTGGTTGCCTTCGCAGCCCGAAAACCTCCACTACGGGCGGATTTTTGTCTCTTGGTAGGTAGGCCAAACTCAAGAAAACAAGTCCTAATACCACCGAGATTTTGGACATTTATCCACATCGCGGTTTCTGTAATGCCAGGCAAGCACTAACTTGATGATGATGATGATAACTTGGATCGAATCCCATCAGATTAAATGAACACTATGGAAACACTAACGGCAACTGAAGTCAATCAGTAGCGGTAGACGGACGACACGACTACTTGGGGAGCGTTCTACGACGCGAAATGTGCTCCTCTGCATGGGATTTGCAATAAATTCCGGGAACCATTCGGGTAAAAGGATGCCGTCTTTTTTCGCTGATTCTCCTTCAGGAGAGATAAGCTCGTTGGGTAGATTACATCGGGCTGTTTCTTTCAGATGGACTCTACATTCGTACCTGAGAAATGCAACTAAAATGTGTGATCGAGTCCCGAACAGAGCAGTCACACCGATGCTTTTGTCCGTATTGGGACTCATCAGATGGGCGTAGATGGATCGGCTGAGAAACCATCAGGTCCTCTGCGAGAAAAAAGATCTCGGTCGTGCATCAGTAGTCGGACGACGGTTCCAAAATGTGAACAACCTTGTCTCTCGCACTGGACATTGCTTTTGTGATCTCCTTCCAATCAATAAAAGATGCATATGAGGCGGCCTGTATGCAGCACATTTGGTTGTAGAATATCATGAACGAGATTCACTTGAGTCTCTCGTGAAAACCAAATTGATTTGCAAACTAGTGTATTTCTCGAAAACAGTGCAATTTGGGTTCAAGTAGATCGTAAGGTTGACGGAAACTCAGGGACTGCGCCTACTTGATGAGCCCCAAGAAGGGCGGAACCTGTCGTGGGCTGTCGAAGAGATTTCAGAAACCCTGTGAGTAGTTTCCTTTATGAAAATATACTGCGATATATCGAATGCCGCGCCAACTGAATTATGAGGCGGCCTGTGTGCAGCACACTCAGTTGTAGAATATCATTAACGACAGGTTCAGTTGAGTCTCTCGTAAAAACCAAATTGATTTGTAAATGAGTGTATTACTTCTCTTACACACATCGGATACCAAGTGAACAGTTGTTGATTAATGGTAGGAAGGAAAACGCCATGGGGACAGCTCACTACACCGATAACAGAGAGTAGAAGAGGGGTAGGAAGTTAGATAGAAAAACTGCTATTCTTATGCTGGGACGAAGTCATTAGCATCGTCAACACCAACAGAGACAGTAACATTTGCGCCGACATGCATGCTTCGCTACCGCGCAACCACAAGTTGAGTTGATTACGGTTAAAGACTTGATCGTAAGAAGAGGAGTGGATGGACGAAGGATGGACCTTGTGTGCTTGTCTATCGCAAGCATTCCCAGGTACATACACCTCTCTCAGCGCCAATCAGACAATATGGAAAGAAACTGATAGCGCGAACACCAGTTTTTGCCATGTTTCCAGCTAGGCGCAGGAGGTCGGTCACGGGGACCACATCCTGGAAGGCGAACCGCACCAAGAACACCCTAAAACCTTTGTATTCGCTTCACCAGTGTTGTGCCAAATCATACATTGTCAACCTCGTGGTTTCCGCCATTCTGAAGGAGGCACGGAGAGCAACACTCGTCTCGATAGACGCTGTTTTGGCATACGTTGTACATGGCCGAACCACCGCAGTGCTAGCCAAATACCCGTATTCCAATTACCTCGTAACAAATTCGTTGACGTCATGCGACACCAGCAGCGCTTCTGAGACATCGGCGACGCCTCAAACCACTAATCCGCAGAGGTCATGTCCCGCAACCATACAGCAATATAGCCCTGACGGAATCCCGGTGCACACGATCATTCAGACCGAATGATGTGCCGTTTGGACACCAAGAGTGAGCGTGATTTGGACCTTTAAACTTCGTTCAACGACTTCGTCAAAACTGATGAGATATGTGAGAGTCTTTAAAGCATTTTGGATCAGTCATTCCAAGAGGCTTCACGTTCTGTAGCGTGACTTTGAACTTCGTAAGTGCAAAGCTTGTTGCAGGAGATGTTATCACGTTGATAAGTTTATTCAACAGAGCCTTACTTATTTTACTCACTCAGAATCGGAAGAAAAGAGCGCGGAACTGACAGTCTGAGTGTAATTAAGCCTATGTTAGGGTGTCCAACGGGAAGTCCTCATATGACGATGATGCCCTTGCACGCACTGCCGCAACAACCTGGAGTTGGAAATGATCCACCGATGCGCATCATTTCGCTGCTAACGGATGCATTCACGCAATCGCTCAGGCTGCTAGCATACCGGAGTAAGTCACGTGAACTTGCGGTGGGTAACTCTTCGTCTATATATAAGGGTCGTACAACTTTTAAAACATCGCTTCTGACAACACACTTTCAAGACAAATCAATGAGAGAACCACCTTGCCTGCTCCCTGTTGATTCAGGTGACACAAATTTTGTTATTCAATGTAATCCCAGAAATGGTTTTTCACTAGGATTTATGACATTGATGCGTATTAGTCGGGTGCAACGTCAAGCCGTTGCGGTCATGAATATTGCGGACGTGATCTTGGATACGTTCGAGGGTTGAAATAACGCACAACGTCAAGGTTGTAATAAGCATTTGATGTCATGGAGTTGGAATAAGAAGAACCGTAAAATAAATCATAAACAGAGTAAATTTACAGACGCAATACACTACTCACAAGGTCGCTGAAACTCTTCGACAGCCCACGGTCGATTTCCAGCTCCCCGTTTGGGTTCATCAGGTAGGCGCATTGCCTGAGTTTCGGTCAACCTTGTGTTCTCATTCAACCCAAATTGCCAAATCGCGACTGGAACCCACCATTAACGAGAGATTCAGCTGAGTTCCGTCAAAACCAAGTTGATATACGGTTGAACGAAGAGGATCGGTGCTGACCAGAGTATCGGACCAGATCACCACAAGACACGTGCATTGACGTAGTCAATAACACACTCACTGTGAAGACCGCATGGTCACCACAGAAACCAAAACCAGGCCGCGAATATCAAAGACCGACGCCCGTATCTACCGTGACGTCAGCAAGGTGTCGGTGGGATTGTCCAGTGAGTGAGTTACTGAAAACATTCGCTCGTACAATGAAAGTCAGGGGTGTTCACAAGTTGGTACAGGTATGAAATTTACGGTGAGAGTTACCGTAGAAGTAAAATATATCGAGCAAACTCTCACAGAACTGTCCACTATTCTGGTTCCGTTCAGTTTGGTCCTGGGCGACATTCTCAAGCGTATAAGGAATAGCGTAACGGAAACGACAGTTCCAGGTGAACCTTCGGAAAACTGGAATATGCGGACAACACAGTGGAGGACGTTCAAACGTTAACCGCTTTTGATCATCGATGCTTATTAGGTATTGAACCGTTTCTTGTGGGAACTGTGAAAAAGTTGGTCGTCAAGAGTTTGGTACCTCCAAGTGCTTTCCTGGATGGACGTTCATCGGTCACGTCCAGAGAACGCTTCACATATTGTCCGCTTCGAGCAACTCCGCTAGAGTTCGTTGGATCGGACTGGAAACCCATAAGCGAAGGTCGGCAGGAGATTTGGCCAAAACATGTGACAAAAGGCGCCTGCTGCGCGCGACGTCCTACTCCTTGTGACCCCTAGCCAAGTCAGCTTCCCAATGCCTTGTGCGTCGAAAGTTAAATTCTTCAGATGAGGTAAAAAAAATTCACCTGCCTGCATGTGACGCGGACTGTAAAGAGAGAGAAGACACAGAATATGAAGCGTGCGCGGATCGGAATGAAGGAGATAGGCTCGAAAGGCAAACTGCTGTCGTTGTGAAAGAACCCAAAAACGCCACAGGATAGACTTAGCTGCATTTTTGTGAAAGAACAGAAAAAACGCCACAGGATAGACTTAGCTGCATCCAGTGAGACATAGCTGACTGATCAAAGAAACCTCAGTTCAGTTTTTAAGCTCACAAACCGTGCACCAAAGTGCAATCGAGGAAATCTGGGGGAGCCGAGATCTGATTATATCTTGTCGACCAACTCCAAGTTTCAGATGATACGATTGACAGAATAATGGCTGAACTAAACCGCACCAATTCAGAAGTGCCCCAGATATCTGGGACAGGTTCTCCCACATTCATCTGCACCTGTGCCCTCATAGTGCTACATTCGAAACAAATCCTGTGATCAGCTGACCAATCTTGGTCAGATCAGATTCCATCTTCTTGTAGAACGATGTGAATGTTCAGGTTACGAAAGAGGAGACTGAAACAGACCCTTTGGAATGTAATCAATGAACGATAAGCGTGGATGTATGCTGTGCAATAGTTGAACTTCCAAAGAACAGAGACAGCGTGTGTGCAGGTAGCTCATTGAAGAAGTGGTCACGGACATCTAATCGAATACATCACTGTGTGGCAACGAGACCTCTGTAATGTGTTGATCGCAAAAGTGATGCGTGGAGAGCTGCAGTATGAATGACTCTCTAGCGCGTACCAAAATACGCGGCCATATCCGGGCTGGGTGTAAGAATACTGAAGAACTGTATCGTAATTTCGCGAAGCTCCAAAGCTACCAACTCCTAAGTATACCCGAAAGTCATTGGTTCCAATAACGAACACGTATTCCGGCAGCTTCGGTCGATACCGCTGCTACGCCGGTGTGCAATTGGCCGACTGACAAACCTGAGATCCTTCTTTTGAAGCTTGCTAAGAACACAAGCGATGAGACTTCCCAAAGATTGAAGAAATCCATGCCGGAAGGACGGTGCCGGAACAACAATAGAAGAGGGTAGGAGTACAATTCGAAACCCGCGGAATACACACCGAATTGTACGTGGAAAGGCTGGTTGGAAGTGAGCAATCTGCATCTGCCCTCCATTACAAATCTCCACCTGGCCTTCTTGGACGTTCGTTTCACAGCATCACCATGTCTGGTGGGTTGACGCTCAAGGCAAGAGCGGTTTGTACCGAGTTTTGACATAACCCATTGGAAAAATGTGGCCGCATTGCTATGAGAATCTAATAACGGATACACTGAGAACACGGTGCACTCTGGTAGCGAAACAAGTTGTGTTTATGCGAATAAAAAAAAAACAGGCAGCGGGGAGAAAAGTGTGCAAACCTGAGTTTGGTGTCTGAAGGACCAGGTGAAACACACACACCACCATCTACAAACAGCCGAAAAACAGCATTACTTGTAGCTCGTTTTGCTACCTGCTCAGAGGTCTGCAGGAGAGTAAAAAAAGTTCAGCGAGTGACTGTATCAGTCCGGGTTCAAAGTACAGTACAGTGTGTGTGGTCGGACACTACGACTGATCACAGAGAGATAACCAGCAACCGCTAACTTCCAAAGTAGTTCTTCGATTCGCGCACACCTCGATTTCTACCCAAAGTAACGATTACCTGGGTTGTCATTATGGCTATCCAATGAAAAATGATGCAACTGGACTTTAAATATCAACTATAAATGCCTTCCCAGTCCGACTCCACTGCTGAACTATGCAGTCTCGGCCACCAGGCAGTATCTTCCCCTTAGCTATTAGTTCTCCCGCCGTGTGAATTTTCATACCGGGGTCTAAGGCCCACGACGCCCCACGAACCACGCGTTCTTCCGTCTCCCTAAGATACTCGGACTACGCCTGATCGCACTTTCCAATCCCAGTGTGTCCAAACAGCTGCTTATTCTGACGTCGAATGCTCTAACTGCGTCTTTTTCCCATACCCCTGAGAGTGTTGCCTCTCGAAAGGTTCATCGGTATCTGCCTGGAGATTTACAAAAGACCTCATCGACAGTATTTCACATTTCTCGGAACCCCAGAGAACCTTTTTTCTCCCTTTAAGTTGGTTGGACTTACCCGTTTCGGTGGGGTTGCACGAATGAGCGTGGGCTCGGTAACTTCTCTCCACCAAACCGTTCGATCACGGGTCTGTCCGTGACTCCCACAAGGCCAAAATCGATACAGCGAAACACAAATTCGGCAATCGTTAAGCTGCTCACCTACCAATTCCGCCTCTTCAATCGCCCAGAAGCTATCCAGAGCAATCAGTACAGCGCATTGCGCTTCATTTCTCATGGTTTCTGATATCTGTATGGTCCTTAAATCCTCTGGAAACTCAACTTATCTTCATCCTCCACCGTCATTTTGATTTTGCGATTCGTACGTTCATCACTTTTTTCACTCGATAGTTCGAAGCCTTTAGGTGCGGCTGGTGTTCGGGGAATGTTTTCAACACAGATTACGCCTTGTTCTTTCGCCAACGTTGTCATTCGCGAGTGGTCTTTTTTCTAAGGTTCTTTCCAGTCTTCATGCTTGTACTAACGATACCCCTTGACTTGGCAGGGGAGTATGAAGGAGATCACGAAACGCTTGGGTACTGTCGGTGCTACTCGCCTTCCAGGATCCTCACTATGCCTGGATGGAGACACTACAAGGTATGGCTGCCAACCGGTGTCAGTGGCGTTCTTGTTGTCAGTTTCTATCCAGATTGCCTGAATGAGTGGCTGGAGGTGTAGGCACCCCGGAATGATTGTGGTAATCCAGCACTAAGTCCCTTCCCCGTCCACCTTTACTCTTTTCTGTACAATAAGGCTTTCAAATAAATCATGGTTGTGCGGCAGTGAAGCATCGGTGTTGAACACTGATGTCGTACCGTCGATAATGATGACTGGACACTGCAAATCATCCAGTGTCCAGTCCCTCCCTGTGCTCTGTTTCTCCTCAGAGGCCGAACGACTGCACAGAAGAGAAGCACTGCAAAAAAGATCTCTCCAAGCGCTGTGACATTTATCTCTTCCATATTGCTCCCATATTTGTCTCAAAAGTCGTAATTGTCCTCGTTCCCCTCCATTCACTCACGTCTAGCTGATCCCTGCAACCGCATTCAAGGTGAGCTCCGCGTCGGGAACTATTTAACTCTTGCCCCTTATAATTATGAGATTCTTCTAACCCCAAGATGGTATTTTTGCGTCTGGAACGAGCCGCCGACGAGTTGTCTCTCAATTAAGAACCGCACCGAAACAAGGGGCACTCGTCTGATTGCCCCATCCAAACTCCATCACATCCTGGAGATTCAACATACACATTGCTACTACTACAAAGCACACACATGTATTCCTTCTTCCACTGTCAACGAGCTAATGTGTCCCGTTGTCGCACTAGCCCTTGAACAACCACATCCTAGAACTCCCTCCTACATTCTCCAACGTTTCGAGACTAAAGTTAACAGTTTTGTATGGTGAAAAAAAAACTGCATTTCCTGGCGCTTGGTTTACTTGATTCATTCACAGAAGTCTTTGACAATGAGGCTAAGATTCAACTACAAACCGTAGTACTGTGCAGTGACAAAAGTATGAAGGTGACCTCTTGGTGGCTGATCTCGGTACCCACCGAGTTGGTCTGCGAATGTTTCGTTACCAAGCAACGCGACATCATCAGTGAGTGGTTGATGATAACATTGCCTCGACTGGTGATGAAACGTTTGAAAAATAATTCCCAAGCGCGGCGAACAAATCAACGGCTCCACCCAACCAAACATCAATGAACGCGCTCAAGCTACAAATGAAAGGAAGAAGCCCTTCGCTGCGGCGTTATCTATTTGGAAATGCCAACTGACCAGTGTTACAGACTATTGAACAGGGAAGCAAAACTCTCATTTGCATCTTATTTACAAAAACTGGACGTCCATATTCTCCCGAACGCGTCTTCTTGAACTTTCCTGAATATTCATTGACTTCAATCATTCAAGCAAATGTTACACGGCGACTCCACGAATTCCGCAACAGATCTCCCTTCTCGAGAGACGCAAAGCGAATTTACAAGGACAAAACATACCACTCACATGCCTCTCCACCAGTAGTATCACCGGTACATTTCCAAAGTGGCCTTTTCGGAACCAACGCGGTGCTAGGCAGAGACCACACGGCGATTAGAAACGATTTTTCTAAACTATACTATATGATATCTCACTACACTGTACTGTACTACTATACTATACTATTGCTACTTTACTACACTGCTATGCTATACAACACCATACTATACTATACCATACTTTACTATACTATACTATATACTATCACTATCATTTATTTTTGAACAGCACGGTCACAGACATGAAAAGTGGATGCAAGCGACGAGTGCGAAAAAGTAACAGGAGAATGAGACAAAAGAGAGAAACGTCCCATTCGAATTCATTCCACCAACAGTTCCAGTCAGGTGAGATGAATCCAAACGTATGTGAAAATTTTGATATGGAAACACATGTCTAAAGACCAACAACCAAAGAAAGGACAATGTTGAATGCTCTTCAAGGCGCGGTAGGCGCTAGCACAGTCAGGACTCGAACATCAGGCACAAAATGCCCGTCATATTATACTATACTATGCTATGCTATACTATACTATACTATAATATACTATACTGTATTGTACTATACTACACTATAAAATTGGTACTACATTATACGACTATACTAGACACCACACCATACTATATTACTGCTGTACTATACCATTATAGACTATACTGCCTGGAATTCGTCGGGGTTGTAGCCCAAATACAAACCCCAGGCCAAAAGAAGCAGAACATGTTTGACTGAACGTATGCATTGACCGACCGTCTGAAATCAACACACATGGTCATCACTGTCCCTTGTGGGATTTGATTCCTCTTGGAGCTGTCTTCTTATTCGAACAGGCGTACAACTAGCCTACCATGAAGGGCTTTCCGTAAAAGTATCCAAGGATGGACCCTTATCAATAAGGGGACTCTGCGTTCGAAAGATTTCCCCAATGCTTCATGCTTTGCGAAAACAGTCGGTACACCATCGGCGAGCAGGACACAGAAAACGAAGTAGAAGGATTTTCATAAAGGAAACTACTGACAAAGTTGCTGAAAACTCTTCGATAGCTCACGACCGGTTTCGCCCTTCCACTTTTGGCTCAGTAGGTAAGCGCAGTCCTCGAGTTTCCGTCAACCTTATGATCTACTTGAACCCTAATTGGACTGTTTTGGAGAAAGATCACTCGCAAAAGGGTGTATTCTCACCCCGATTTCTGATCAGACTCGTGAATCTGTAGTCTAGTGAGTTCATGCTGTTGACATGCCGATACAATCTCCCAGTTTGACAACAAACTGTGAAGACTCAGGCCAGTGTGCATCCCAGCCGGTACGTAGGGGTTTGTATACGATTTAGCCCAGTGAGTGGTTAAGGCGTGGACTTCCTGATCGAACGGGCTAGGACTCTGCAGCTCGAATCCCTCCACAGCTGTCTAGGCTTGGAAACCCAGCTAGCATCTCAACCGTCATGGTTGCTTCGCGTGAAATGACAGTTAGGCACCGAATGCTTACCAGTTTGGGCAAGTCGAGAGGAAGAGGTCGGGTTCGAACCACAGACCCTCCGGTCAGTAAACTTGCGCGCTCTAACCACTAAGCCATCTAGCCCCACGTAGTCCGAATATTAACAACTTGAAAGTTTTTGGAAGGAAAACGTCTCGGCTTGATCACTGGGGGAACCAACAGGAACCTAGTCAGTAGGTTTAGAATACATGCGTCGATTCCTAATAGGCATTCAGATGCACACCTACAAGAGCCCAGAAAAAGAAGTATTTCGAATTAGCGGACATTTCAGTTCCCCAGGTGGTCATCTCTTAGTAAATAAAGTTTGGATACGACGACCGCTGCGACCGCAGTTAAATTCCAGATCGAATCCCCGAAACATGCTTCAATTTTATTTTTCCTGCTGAAANTTAAGTCTGTTTTGGGGCTGACATACCATATTTATGGAAGCGATAGATGGGGGCACTTTGTGGCTAGCCGGAGACATGCTAGTTGGATTGAATTGAGTCCCTCATTCGTTCAGCTGTAGCACTCTTTCGGTGCCTAACCGCCATGCCACCCGAAGGAAGCTCGAGGTCACCCAAGCCTAGACAGGGAAAGTCGAGAGGCAGAGGTCGGGTTCGAATCACGGACCTTCCGGTCAGTAAATTCGCACACTCTAACCACTTGGGCCATCTCGCCCCTCGTCGAAACCAAATGAGTGTATTCAGAAAAATCTTTGGGTTAAAGCGAAACATACTGATGGAAACCGGAGGACTGCGTCTACAGTGTAAGCCGAAGGAAGGTGGGACCGGTCGTGGAATGTTGAAGAGCTCTCAGCAACCTTACTTCAAGATAATAAAACTTGCCTCGCCATTGTGAACGCCCTCCTGTTGCGGACACCGCGGTACTTAGGCTACGGTACTTAGGCTACGGTAGTCACATGACCGATTTTTTGACCAATCTATTCATGTATCTGTAAAGTTCCTTCCTAGTTAAAAATCTTCAGGCCACAGACACCCTTCCAATTCCTCGAAATCCTTTCACAATGGTGACGCACTTTACCCGTGGAAGCCAAGAAAGAACCACTTTCTCACTTAGTTGCAGTTGGGTAAACAATAGTTCGTTGTAGGTCGTTTGTACCCACATTTATGGTGGAGATTTGTTATAGAATAAATTCACTTTGGGCATGACGAATTCGGCAGCAAAAGCACCGGATCGTATCCCGGTGGTGCATGAAACATTATTAGCTGGTTTCGACCGAAATCAAGCTCAGAAACTCTTGAACGGACAACGATGACAGGGTCGGACTGGCGCTCAAGTAAACCCCAGGCCTCCTTGCGTGAAGGACAGCGCGACCGTGCAGATAATGGGGAAAATTAGGGCAAGAAGAAGACAACTTTGAGGTGGGTTACAAAAGGAGCCACGAACGGTTCGCACAAACCAAAGGCAAGGGTCCCGAGAATACTTAATGCCTTGCAATTCTACAAAAGTGTTCGAAAAAATTGTACGCTGACAAAATATGATCGAAATTCCCCTGATTTCGGGTACCTACAGCGCGTATTCTAAACTATAGTAGTAAAAATACCAAGGATAATGTAACTGTAACACCTTTTTGGCAACTAGTTGCCATGCCACCCGAAGGAAACGCAATAGGTTTGAATCTGGTAGCCTCCAAGTCACACGATGTGAGCTGATTCTCAGCATATAGTTGAAGTCGGTCGCTATGAGCGTCAACGTCAAATCGGCCGCGAAGA